TTCATGTATTCTTAATTAATGCTTGTTCATAACTTATTTAAGTTTACCTCACTGAATGCTTCTGAGTGCTTTCAGAATAGGATTGTATACACCATCACCTCCCTTAGGCTTTATGTGTTTATTTACTTTATTTGATGATGCTGCTGGTGAATATCTTTTCCGATATAACCATCATCTTGCAGTACCTTAATTACAAAAAAATTAGCCATTAAATTTTAGTTTTAAAGCCTTAACTCTAGCTAGATTGATTTAAAAAATTCTACTTTAATATAGCTTTCCGACCAACATCCCTTTATGTACTTCTCTTACAAATTTATTCTCAGATTTCGATTCGTTCGTTATATTTTGTAGGAAAAATGAATCACTGCAAATTACTGTTAAGTTTTTCATTTTTTATGAAAGTGCACGGTAAAGATATTCTTAGGTGACTTACACTAGAATAAAACGAAGAATTCCTTCTGGTTGCTTTTTTTTGACATAATTAGGAAGTTTAACCTGACGTCTTCTTTAAGATTCTCTACCCTCATGGGATCTCAGAATAAATATGCTTAGCTTTCTTATTTTTTATAACGGACATCATAGCTAGAGCGTATACGGAAAGACAACGTCAAGAAAACTTATTAGCTCATTCTCTCTTGACATATAATTTCACAAATCATTAGTTTTGTGAAATTTATCAAAATTAGGCAAGTTTATTTCTAAATCTATTTCTATTCTTATTTACGTGTTTGTTTACATATATGCATGCATACTTGTATTCGGGTACAAAACCCCAGTGATGCTTTTGAGTAATTATCGAAGAGCGTGGCCTTGCTCCTAGGTTGTCGGGGACATCAACATAGCATGCGTTCCAAAAAGGTAAATGTCGATTCCTTAGAAATAAGCATTTTTTATGTTTAGAAGAAACATTTGCATTTGAATTAAATTTCTGGATCTAAGATAAGTCCAGACTAAGTCTCTTTTTACGGCCATATCTTTTCATTTAGCTCCAGTCTCATATTCTCCCTGGCCAAGCTAATCTCCACCAGCAACGCTCTTTCTCTCATTACTGGGCTACAGCCCAACAAGTCGACTCTGCTCGCCGCTTTCAGGCTCTTAATGCTTGCCTCTGTTTAGCCGATCGTCTCTCAGAGCTCTGGGTTGATGGCCATCTGCCTGCTTTTCTACTGGATCTACATTCTTTTTCGGATACAGATATAGAGGTCACTTCTAACTCCGCATTGCCTTCGGTTACGCGCCTTCTACCCTTCTTGCAGTTAGTCTATACTCTTTATCGCTTAATAGAGTCTAATATCGTAAGCAAATTTTCCACTTCGGCTTCCCCAGGGCCAGCAAGTCAAACATCTCCGCCCTGCATTGCGCCTATTAGCGAAGCTAAGAGGGGGGTTGAGTTTCCCGAACGACGGTACTATAGCCAGCAGAGTAGGATACAGTAAGTCTGTCCTTTTCTTTATGATCACTTGGGTGTTCCCCATCTTTAACCTATATTTAATTGTCATCATTTACCAACCATACGTTAGACTATTTATCTTAAGCTTCATTTTGTTTTCCTTGCTTTGTATGGATTTTTGTAAATCATTCTACTATTTTAAAAAATAGCATTACAATTTTTACGCACTTAATTTATATTGCTTATTTTTAAACTTATTCTTTACAACGGAAATTGGCTTTATTCAATTATCGAATTTAACTACCTCATCACTATACATGGCTAAAGCGATGAGCTCTTTGGGACAATTTTGTTCTAATTCTTTACATTAATGCTATTAATGTTTTGATTTATGTTAAAGTATATAAATGTTGCATGCCTTGTTTATTTGTCTGAGACAACCACTATTGAGTAACCTCTAGAATCAAGGCATAACGCAATTCCAAATAGTGACCCTATTTCGTTTAAAGTGATATTCACAATGATATGAATATACCTTACGTTTCCATTGAATTTTACATAGCCTTGCTTTCTCAAAAGGTATTCTTATTCAGGATAAATTGTACTTTTAATCTTGCCTAGGTCTTATCAACCCCCCTGCTGGACTCTAACCATAACAATGCAGCAATGTGGCATAGCGATTAAAATTTTGAGATTGTACACTGCACTGTTATGGTTTGAGTCCCGCTGGGGGTGTTGGTAATACCTATGCGAGGTTGAAACTGCAGTCTACCCTGGATGAGAATACTTTTTGGGAAGCAAGGCTATGCAAAATTCAATGGTAACGTAGGGCCTACTTATAGAATTGTGGGAAAATACAGCTACCAGTCTTTCATCATCTTAAACACATTAGGTTTAACACATTCCATATAGTTGTAAATACTGATTTAGCCTCTGTTAGACAGTTCATTAGAAACTTAAGAGGTTACTCGATTTGTCAACTTCTTTTCCGGGAAGCTCGGTTTAACAGATCATACATGCAGGTAGATCTATGG